GCACATACACAGATTTTGGTATTCATGGGGGGTGGGTGGGTCCTGGAACCACACCCCAGCAGATACCAAGGGCCAACTGTATTAAGAGTCCAGGTTTTTGGTAATTTTATGAAAAGGAAATAAGATTTTATATTGCAAAAGCCACAAGCAGGCTAAATTCTCATCCCATTGCAATACCTTGCCATTCCATTCACTTTATATAATTTTTACACATATAGAAAATCAGAGAAAATATTTTATTTCCACAATATGCTATAGGTACAGCCCTACAGCCCCCTCTTAAAATATCTATGTATGGCAAACTACATTGGTTTCTCCCAACCTCCCCCATTTTTTTTCATAATATTATCATTATACTGTATATGCTCACTTGTGCAACCCTACTGAGAGCCACTACTACAGTAAGTAGCCTCTACTATACTATTTGTCGAAGGATAGTTAAAAACAAAGCTGGGGATAGCTTTATGAGCAGCCAGTTATATTTTATCCAGGTCTAAGCACTCATTTGATTTCAATAGGCTTGGGAAGCTGTTTATCTCACGCAAGAAGAGAAATCCATAGCTGCCTAAGAGGGTCTCATCTTTTCTTTCAGTGTCTCAGTATCGTGACACCTATGATTACAAAATAACACCCACAAAAGAAATACTCTAATGATTTATTGTTTAGGGATTAATCAGTGATAATCAGCACACTGAGTTGTGCATGACACACAAGTGTGCACATGGACAGCAGAGCAGTAGTATAGTGGCTCAGTGGTTAAATGCCTGTACTGCAGCCACTCACTCATAGACCACAAGGTTGCGAGTTCAATACCAGCCAGGGCTGAGGCTCGACTCAGGCCTGCATCCTTCCGAGGTTGCTAAAATGAGTACCCAACTGTTGGGGGGCAATCAGCTCACAGTTGTAAACCGCTTAGACATCCCACAGCGCAATATGAAGCGGTATATAAATGAAGCTGCTTTGCTTTGGTTTGCTAAACAGCTCAATTAATCCCAGCACAATTGTTAGTCATCACGTTATAAAGTGCAAACACGCTAATACCTTAGCTCTTGATCACAGCATTCCAAAGTAACAAGGAAGCACCAAGAAACAGACAATTTACTAAAATAAACTCATCTTCTTTTCCATGTATAAATGTGATGGTGCCAGTTTATCAAGTGTGGATGCCAACTATCTAATCCTGATTAAATTTACTTTAAAAAAGTACTTTACTTCTCACCCCAACTAATGCAATGGCTTATGACATATACTCATAGGTGTCAAGCTACTATAGTGTTGACTGTGATGGTGTTACTCATCAGCAGAAATTAAAATACTCTTAATTTAAAAAAAATTAAAAATCAGCATGTCCCATCCCCAGAAAGATCAAAGTCTTGAATACAAACACTTTTTAAATAAAAAGAAGAAATCTCCACAGCATTTATTAGATTTACTCGGTAAAAAAACTGACATACACAAAAGTCATTTAAGAGAGATAAGGAATGAAACTGACCCCACCCAAAGATACTTTACAGTACAAACTCAAATCCATACAATTTAAATTGGTTTAATCTTAAAGTGTAATCCAATTAGACTGAACACTAGACACTTGAGGTCCTGGACAAGGTAGTAGAACACTCTTAGACCTTCTGGATCCCTAAAATATAAAAGGAAAAAGCAAAAGAGATTAAATATTTAAAGTCAGAATCTTGAGAAAGGTCTGCATGACCTGTATAACAATAGTAGTATGAGAATCTTCTAGCTACATAACAAAACATCAAGCATACTTTGGAAGCACTGCAAGACTTATGTGACCTGTCTTTTTGTATCCAAGGACAAAACAGTATGGAACTGTGAGAACAGGCAACAGGGCACACAAAATCTCTTTAAAGTCAACAGCACAAAACCAGAAATAACATCCAGGCCTTAAAAAAATAAAAATTCTGGGCCTACTGTGGTCCATAGTGGGATTTGAAGGTGAAAATTTGGGCCTCGGAGTTTGATATTTTCCACTCCTGATTTATCAGGATGCTGTTCTATATAAGATGCCGCTTAGCCACTGGACAAGACACTGACTGCATTATGAAATAAAATGCTGTGACTGAGACAGCATCAATCTTGTAGAATTTTGTAGAATTTCTAGAGGTTTCTTAGGTAAGACAGCCAAGACAGAACTGCACTGCTCATCCCTCCCAGGTCTCAAACTTCTTCCACTGCATTTTTGTTTCTATTATCAGAGCTTTAAAAATTTAATAAATGCTTTGTCCCTTCTCTCATTACAGAGTCTCAGTCAGGCCTCCTACGAGACAAGCACAGGATCAAACACACTATAAGCACATTCAGTTGGGATACATTCTACTGTCTTTGAGGCAGTATTAGGGCTGCAAATATATACTCAGAATGCCCAATTTTACGTGAGGATGTATTATCTCCAAAAATAGCAACATTCTTGACAGCCCTAACTTAGTAAATACATATAAAAATATCTTCCAAAGAGGGCATTTTACTGCTCATGGTAGCCAATCAATAAACCATAAAACAATTCCTCATAGAACACTTACTTGGACTGATTTACATCAATAAGAGAACCAATTTTCGAAGTAGTAAAAGAAATGTGTTCATCACCAATTACAATTTCAAGCTCCTAAAAAAAAATTAAAAACATGCCTTTAGATAATAAATATTACTGACGTGAAGAGCAATAGGATTATGGTAATTTCACATATACAGTAGTCCCTCCCAATTTGCAGGGGATCCGTTTTGGACCCACCCACCCCACAAAAATGGCAGCTTGCAAATATCTGAGCCCCATTGAACATAATGGTGTGCATACCCATGCGTATGCTGCCATTATGTCCCTCCCGTGACGGGCGGGACCACAGACTTCCAAGTTCTGTGAATGAGAAAGGACAACTGTATTATGAGCCCAGTTAATCTCTAGCTATACCTATTTCAACATTTTCCATGTATTCCATAATACATTTTTGCCATCAAACTTGGATCTAAGATACTGAGCCAAACGTTTACAGAAATTATAGCAACTACAGTGTATAGGCACTATATTGTAGGACATTCATAAGCCATAAAACCAACTTGCTATAGGAGCTTAGGATTAGGTGTTGGTGCCCTTCAACTAAGGTGGGCTGGGAAGAGATGTAGTAGAAAATTACTTTCAACTGTGTGTCCAAAGAGTGGAAGGCCCTGAAACAAGCTTTTTCAGTGTTAAATTACAAGCCATCCATTTCACACATCTAATGACAGCAAATCCATCTTTCACAACTGGAGGTAGGAAGTTTCAAAAAAGCTGAGATCTACAGGTAGAAAAGTCCAGTAAATCCTTCCATCACCTTATCTTCTGCTCAGTCTGGTGCAAGGTAGCTGAAGTTTGGAAGCAGTGAAGAATATATCACTTCCTTCCAAGACCATCCAGGGTTGCTTCTTACAGATTAAGTGTTGTCAACACAGATACATATGGCCAGTAAACCTCAAACTTGTATTGAACTGAATTTGCTAACCTGCCGACCAACTCTGTCAGGTGGAGGCCATAAGGCATCATCTTCTTTTGTAATTTCACTGTCATCAATTATCCTCTTCAGTTCTTCCATCACGCTCTTGTGCACATAGGCCTAAAACAGCATATTTAAAAACAAGCAAGCTAGTATAAATGAAATAGATGAGGTAGAAGAATATTAACCAGCCATGGGAATAATTCAGGATAATGGGGAAAACATATATTAGGCAAAAAATTTAAACTGCCATGAAAAATTCTTTAAAAAAAAATCATACACAACACTCATAGATATTTTATCGTATTTTAACACAGGCAACTCACCTCTTTTCTAATCATGACATCATTTTTATAATTGCTGTTGTTTGCATATCTGAGTTTACCTGTTGAAAATATTACATTTAAAATTACTTAAAGCAGCAAGGTAGTATACATTTTGGAATTTTTTTATCACCTTCTTTAAAATAAAATAAAGAATTTTGTTTCATCGTAAAGATGAACAAGTTTGATTTGGCACATGTGTTTTGCAGACTTCATCAGGTGCATTTGATGATCAGTCACATATGATGAAAAAATTGTAGTCCACAAAGCTTTATGCTTCAAGGTTTATTTTTTGTCCTTCTGGTACCTTTTCTCTTGCTGTAGGCAACCAGGTAAATGGACAAAACCCAAGGCAGGAGAAAGGACATTACTGAAGTTCTTTTAAGGTGACTGCTTTTTAACTTCTGCTTCATCTCCTTCTTTTTATATGTAGCACTACAGTTATACCGAATTAAAGACATAGTAAAACTACAAACCCCAGGATTCCATACGAGGGAACTACAGAGCGTAAAGTGGTGTCAAACTGCATTATTTCTGCAGTGGAAATCCACCACAAGAGAGAAGAGCCTCTAAAAGCAGCTAGTGCCAGCCATTCACATCCAGACTCTCCCTTCTTACAACTCAACCCACCACTTACCCATTACCAGAACAAATCATCCCCTGTATGGACTGAGGAATACACCCCCCCCAAAGTATTTAGAGAGAAAGAGAGAGAGAAAATACAGCATATTCCTGTGTATTATATGTATAATATAATATATGCATGTTATATGTATATTTACACACACACTCGTCCCTCCACATTTGCAGCTTTGACTTTTGCGGATCTGATTACTCATGGATTTTACTAATATGTTCTCTCTATGAATATCTAGGTCCTCCAGTGCAACTCTATG